CAAGTTCGGGTTAGGAAATAATGCCAGTGCCAAAGCCCTGGTGCTGAGGGACTAGCCTCCCTAAGTGCTTATGCATGGAGCCAGTGGTTCGTAAACACATTATTCTCTGTGAAAGGCCACTTGACTAAGGGACCATTTAGGAGCTGCTATCCAGCCTGTACTCACCCTGTTTACCAAACTGAGTTCCCTTGGGGATTCTCTTAGCCCAGAGTCGGCCTTTTGCCAGTTCACAGGAAGACACTGCATGGCGTGCAGTCACCATGCTCAGCATTCCCCACCCCGGGGTTTTGGCCTAACTTTGTCATCCTTCTCCTTCTTCTCAGGGTGAAAAAAGTGACTACAGATCTTTAAAATCTTGGGGGAAATGCTATGCCTTTTCTTTAGTTCTCATCTCTAAAAATGGTATCTTTTGATACCTCCGTCTCCTAGACTGTTTTATTATGATTTTAGAAAAAAAAAAAAAAGGATGCTTTCACAAGGTTTCTGCTCTGAACATTACAGATATTCTTTTTTTTCTCTCATTTTTTTTTATTTATTAGTTCACTTTACACCATCACAACACACAAATGAATTTTCCATCCAAAATACACTGTGCATTGTCTCAATCAAGTACATCCACATATATGTTCTCAGCAAATAATTTTCCAATTTGAACATTACAGATATTCTTGAGGAAGGAAATGCCTCACTACTATGAAAACTGCAGGGTTTCGCAATGAGCAAAAAGACCAAAACACACATTCATGTGTAGATAAATTTCAAGTGAAATAAAAACTTAATTTTTAATTACTAAATTTAAAATTGTGAAATATTTTAATAATTTCTGTTGTACAGAATTTATGAATATATATCTTTTAGAAATTGCAAATTAAATCTATGGAAATTACTGTTACTACCTTTCAGCAATATAGAAAGTATATAGCTGTAATTTTTTATTTTTAAATTTGCCAGAGGGCACACGTGTTTGCCAGAAGGACAGAAAAAGAAAACAAGAAAGCAGCTCCCTTGGAAATGGCCACACTGTCATCCCTTCCCCTCCATCTCTCCCTCCATTTGGAATTTTAGACACATATGCACACGTGCCCAGCATGTTTCTAAACCTGCCAGGTTGGAACACAGACTGTGTAGCTGCCTATGTGAGTCCAGCCCCCTTAACCATCAGACCATACGTTGGTCTGTATAGCTGAGAGTTTAACATGGTCCAGTAAGACTTAAAATTTTTAAATTGCTTTCCTCATATCGCTTATTAGAAATACCTTGTTTTATTTATATTTTTGCTCCATTTAATTTTTTTTAATTATCTTATTTGGGACCACCAAATGGTATAATAGCTATGACACTGGACTCTCATGTAGTCCACTGCAGTTCGAGTCCTGGACATGGTGGCTTAAACTCACACCAGATGCGTGTGCGTGCGTGTCCAAGATCCTGAGAGGAGAATGGACAAGAAGGGATGGCGGTGTGGCCATCCCCCCAGGGGGGTGATTTCTTGCTTTCTGTCTCTCTGTCTCTCTCTGTCTTTCTGATGAGAGGATATGCCCTATAGCAAAAACCACTCCAAAAAAAAATCTTATTTAATGTTATTGATTTATTTTAATTTGATAAAAGTGGGACAGTGTGAGAGAGAGAGAAAATGAGCCACCAGATCCAGGACTTGAGCCGCTGTTGGGCATGCGGGAGTCCAGCGCCCTTAACCACCACGCCACTTGCTGGCCCCTCCATTTAATTTTTAGTTAAAATGAATTTATATTTAGGAAAAGGTGTCAATAGTCAAGTAACAAAATAATTTAAAATCATAAAAAATATGTAAATTCTTATAAATAAACTGGGTAGGGAATATGTTTCTCTGTTAACTGAGTTTAGAACTTGTTAAAGAGCTAGAGAGCATTTCTGTTTTGAGCAAATATACTTTTGTCAATTTGTTGAGTAATTTGAATAAAATGACAGATGTAGAAGATAGAGGAAAAATATACAAAACCATAGTATTTCTGGTGCCATATATTACAAGGTGCATTTATTTCTAGTGACAATTGTGCAATGTCACTTGTTCCATTCTGCCGTCTAGACCTGGTCTTCATAAAGAGTGCTTTTTGGCAGTATATTTTTACTATTCAATATATTATTTCTTATTTACAATAGAAATGACTGATCTCCAAAGATTTTTTAAAATGTTTTCCATGTAACACACGTAAGCTCACTGGAGAGAGACAGAGAGAGAAAGTGAGAAGTCACCCCCTGGGGGAATGACCACACCACAATCCTTTCTCCACTCTAGTCTCAGGATTTGGGGCATACATGCACCAACTCCCAGAATGATTTTCTGGCCACTGAGTCTGGGACTCGAACTGCGCCTGGCTGAGTGGGAGTCCAGAGCCTTAACCACCATGCAACCTACTGGGCCAGTCTCCCAAATTTTGCAAAGCTCTGCAAGGCCCATCCAAATAGGGCGATTCCTGGTTCAAGTCCAGAGACCTCCTTGAATATACAGGACATCAGTGTGCCCCTGATGCGTGCTGGTGTAGGCTGGGGGTAAATTGAGGCATTGAGCCTCTTTTGGGGGTTCTGTCTGGCTGTCTCTCACACTCATGGACATTAACAAAAACTTACCAAAAAAATTCTGTGTTTAATTAAAGCAAACACTACTTTAGATTTTGAATAAATAAGGATGTTCATATTCTTTTTTATTTGAGAGGTTTTTTTTGTTTTGTTTTGTTTTTTTGCTGTAGGGTGCATGCGCTCACCAGACAGACAGAGAGACAGAGAGATAGAAAGCAAGAAATCACCCCCCAGGGGGGATGGCCACACCGCAGTCCCTTCTCCTCCGTTCTCCTCTTGGGATCTTGGGCACGCACGCACATGCGCCTGGCGTGAGTTTTAAGCCACTGGGTCTGGGATGTGAATCACAGTTGACTACGTGGGAGTCCAGCGACATAGCCGTTATGCTAACCGCTGGTCCCAGGACGTTCATATTCTGTATTGCAGAATAAGACATTTAAGTAGTGATCTCATCAATATCAAAATATCATAAAAATAGGACATTTAGATAAAATTCCTCAAAATTGGAAACTTCCCGAATGCTCATTGTGCAAATTAATAATTGAAAACTATAAAATGACTTGGGGCTGGCAGGTGGTGTGGTGGTTAAGGGGGCTAGATTCCCACATGCTTGACCATGGTTTGAGTCCTGGACCTGGTAACTTGCTTTCTCACTTTTTCTTTCTCTCTTTTTGTCTCTCTCTGGTCAAATTAAAAAAATAATAATTACAACAAATGAAATTAGATATATTTTTTAAAATAAGGCTGTAAAATGACTTAACTTCTTATTTAGATAACTAACAATTATAGCATATTGTAAAACTTTTCCTCTTTAGGGGCCACCAGGCGGCATGGTGGTTAAGGCACTGGAATTCCCACATGAGTGACCATGGTTCTAGTCCTGGACCTGGCGGCTTGCTTTCTAACTCTCCATCTCTCATTCTCTCTTTCTTTCTCTGGCAAAAGCTCATGTGAAATAAATAAGTGAAATAATAATTTTTAAAAATTTCCCTTTTAGCTTGATGTTCTTCATATTGTAGTATATTATATATACATATAATATAAACATATATAATATAGACATTTGTTAGGAGAACTAGTTGCTTTCTTATGATGAAAGAACTAAAAGCTTATATTTAGGGTTATATTTTCTTTTTTGAAATCAGTTGAAGTGTATGCTTAAAACTTAAACTTCTAACACTTAGCAGTGCACATACTACATAAAAAGAAGTTGTGTTTATTTGATAGTTAAAGACATCAGCTTTAGAGCTCGACAATCTTAGTCCAAGTTCCAAATTTGCAATGTTTAGGCTGAACAAGTTACTTAATATTTTTGAACCTTAGTTTATTTTTTATAATTTCTACTATTATCATTATTAACTTTTTATGCATTCAATCACTGTGTCTCATTTTAAAATGTAGATGACACCTTATCTTGTAGAGATTAAATGCGATAAAGTTTAGTGAGAGTTTGCGTTAGCACCTGGCTCCTACCACACATCAGTGTTAGCTCAAACCGGGTATGGCTTTTGGCTGCAGAAATAGCACACATCGCTCACACCCGTTTAGGCGATTAGACTTAGTGAAGATGAGAACCTTACAATGTTTGATCATTGTCCAATTTCATTTATGATTAAACCCTCAACAGTAGCCTTCCTTTTTAAAAAACTTTTTGTTGTTTAAGTGTTTTTTAAGTCTAATAATGATCAGGCGGTTGTCAGGCATTTGGAAGGCAAGCTTATTTCTACCCTCTTAGTTAATTATCATGATTATAAACAAAGGATGTACAATTCAGAGTCAAGCAACATTTCACATGGACGCTGGAGGTTTTTTTTCCTGCTGGATTTTTTTTTCCTCTCTGCTCTGGCAAGTTCATACTGACCTTGTCCAAAATCTGATGACCTCCCTATTTTACTCAGCTGTTTGGAAAGCCGGGCCTGCCCTAGCTGGCCCTGAGGGGGTATCTGAAAGACCGCCCAGCCGTTGACCCATGTCCTGACTGGATTTCAAGTCTGATCTTTGGGGCCCCTGAAACAGCTTCTAAGCAGCTGCATTTTTCTGCTTATTAAATGTTCCATTAAAGCATATCTTTAAGTGTCGTTATTAAAGTCCTGTTTAATTTACTCAGTTTCTTATGCAGGTTATTTTCTAGACCTACGTTATAGCATGGTAATCCGTGTTTATATATATTGTTGAACCTCAATTATCACTCACAGATTGGTACTAAAGAATGTTGGGGTTAGGAGATGTGTTCCGAAGGAAATCCTATAAGGTGTGTTTACACCAGTAAGCTGTTACTTAGGTTCGATCGACTAGGACCTGTCTGTTTTAATAGAACTTTGTGATAGGACGATGATATGCAAAGAGAAAATTTAATCCCCTTTGTTTATTTTGTTCTTTTGCACAGCAGAAAATGATTAGGCCCCACAGTTGATAGAATAACTCTGTCTTTTCTTTTTCTATAGGAGTTGATTCCTGAATTTTATTATCTCCCTGAGATGTTTGTCAACTTCAATAATTATAATCTTGGAGTGATGGATGATGGGACGGTAGTGTCTGATGTCGAACTTCCTCCTTGGGCCAAAACCTCCGAAGAATTTGTTCGCATAAACAGATTGGTAAGATAGCAGTCATCCACCTTGTCTGTCAGAGCCTATTCTCAAGGCGTCTCTCATCTTTGGTGTAGAATCATTAACCCTCGCTCTTCTGGACAAAGTTATAGTTGATAGGGATAACCAAAAATGACAGTAGTTTGTGACAGTTGTTGGCCATATGGATGTCATATAATTTTATTGAACTGAAAGATACAATCATTTATTATGTTAGGAAGAATTTTAATTTTTTTTTTATGTATGTGATAATTCAGAATTTTAATTCTAAGTTATAAGTTAAACTGGAACTGTGTGCTTTTCAAAAATGGGTTTGTTCTTCAAGGAAACGGATATAATTTTGTGTCTCCGGTTAGAAGGCAACAGTACATTTTGGTGATAGAAATAAGATTTTCACATTCAATCCTGTATCCATCTTTCAAAGAAAATTTTCAGAGAAAATTCAGAATATGAAAACTTGAAAGCATCCTAATGACCACGCTGCTAAACAAGTCTAGTATCCTCGTTCAGGGACACTTTGTTTTCATCCATAATACTGATTCCGTATTAGTTTGTGAGCTAGTAATAAGACTTTTCCTTCTTGCTTTTTAAGTTTCATAAAAGTTTGGAACTGGGGATCTTCATTCTCAGGATTTTAAAAAGAATGTCTCTACCATCCTCTGTATTAAAAAGGAACGCGTTGCTTTAAACTTATACGAATAAATGATTGCATTTTGGTTTTGTAGGTAGGCAGTCCTTAACTTTCCTGTCCACAGTTTGAGTTCCCTCTTCCCTTTCAGATCCTCATTGCCACCTCATCATTACTAAAGTTTCACGTTTTCTGTATACCGGAAGTGATGTAAGGGGATAGGAAGAATACAGGCTTTGGGTTCAGACCAGATTTCCCAGTCCTGGGTCTCGCCCATTATGGGACCATAGCAGTTTAACCTTTCTCAGCCCTGGTTTCGCCATTTGTAACTTTGAAATTATGACTCTAAAACTTCAATTATGTATGTAAAATAGAATATTCTCTAGCTTACAGGAAATGGTACCTGGGGTTATGCTATAGCAGTCTCGTGGTGCCTGCTGTATTGGGTCGTCAGGAAAGTCATGATGCATTCTTGCACAGAAAAACAGAAAAATACATCACGACTTTCCTAACCACCTAATATTTTACTTTTACCCCAAGCATTTTTGAAGAGTCTTTGTTTCTCTGATTAAAGTGAGAGCTCAAGACCAAGCTTATTTCTGAAGGGTGCCGAGATGTGGCAGCTGTCTATGATTGCGTGTTTTTTCCCCAGGGGTGTGCGGAAGTGAGTAGAAGGCCCATTCACCGCATAACGTTTTTCCTTTCACTGATTCTCTCCCCTTTTCAAGCAGATGAGTTGAGGTATAATCGACATATGGTAAAATGAGGCTTTTTACCCGGCATGATACACATCCCTAAAATCTCTTTATTATCTAAGTGATGTATGGCGATTGAATATATTAAATAACAATAATTTTTTTAAAATAGAAGGAAATGAGACTCTTTAGAAGTGTATACAATTTGGTGAGATTTACTAAGTTTATACAGTTGTGTGGTCATTACGATAACCAATAACTCAACTTTAGAACACCTACACCAAGGGCCAGCCTGTAGCGTGGTGATGAAGGCAGCTGAATCCCACATGGCTGACGATGCAGTTTGAGTCCCAAACCTGGCAGCTTGAGAAACATGCTGGGTGCATGTCCATGCATGCCCCAAATCCCGAAAGGATAGCCCTCCCCTTCGAGGAGTACTCTCTCTGTCTCTCTCTTTCTCTCTCTCTGTGTTGAGTGCACACGTCCTCTGGCAAAATTAAAAAACAACAGAAAGAACACTTACATCACTCCAAAATTTTCTTTGTGCCTCTTCACTATCAGCCTCTGCTCTCCTCCTGGCCTCAGGAACCACCAATTCTTTCTTGTTTTGCTTTTCTATATATTTTATATTAATGGAATTATACAATACGTTGTCTTTTGGTGCCTGACTTTTTTAAGTTCATTTCTTCCATGAGAAAGAGAGAGAGAGAGTGAGACAGAGAGATAGGCACCCCCATGCTGCGATTCTTCCCTGATATGAGATGGCTCCGATCCTAGGGTACCTGTAGGCAGGACATTCAGGGGCATCCTGGGATGCAAACCCACGACTTCCCATGTAGGTTGTCTCACCTCATACCACCACCTGGTCCCTCGCTTCTTCCCCTCAGCTGCATTTACCAGATTCCTGCATGTTGCTGCATATGTCAGAAGTTAATTTATTTGTATTGCAATAGTATTCCATTTCCTGGATATATTGCATTTCTTTATGTTTGTACTAGTTGGTGAATATTGTCTTGTTGCTATTATAGCTTGGGGCTGTTAGGAATATTTGTGTAAAAAGTGACATCTGTTTTCATTGCTCTTGGGTAGATTCCCCTAGGAGTGGGGTCTTGGGTTACATGTTAGAATTATGTTTGGTGTACTGTCTTTGTATTTCCACCAACAACATATGAAGTTCCAATTTCTTCCTATCCTTACTGTAACTTGGAAATATCCATCTTACTTATTTTAGCTATTTACTGGAATGGTAGATATCTAATTGTTGTTTTAATTAACCTTACCCTAATGACTACTAAATAATGTCAAGCATCTTTTCAGACTTATCTGCTACTCATATATAACCTTTGGTCAATATCTACTGAAATCACTTACCAATTTTATAATTGAACTTTTTGTCTTTTTATCACAGAATTATAAGAGATCTTCATATATTCTCTATAAAATTCATTTATATCTTTCAGTTAGTTTGTGGCTTGTCTTTTTGTTTTTAATAGTGCTTTGGAAATTGCTATTCAAAATGTTAAACTCTGTTAAGTAGATATAAAGTAATATTTATATAATACAAGAAAAGTACAAAATCTCTTCTCCATTCTCAAGGAGTGTATGTTTATGAAAAAAATTTAAAGTAATATTTATATAATACAAGAAAAGTATAAAATCTCTTCTCCATTCTCAAGGAGTATATGTTTATGAAAAATATCATGTTCTGATTATTTTATTAGTAACACAGTCCTCAAAATTTCATCTCCAGGGAAGCCATTTTCTATTCGTCTTTACCATAATTGCTATTAGTAAAAGTACAAAGAGGTTTGTTAGTATGTTTATTTCCTTTAGAGGAGATATAAGAGGCAGAGATAATCCTTGAGTTGAGTTCTAGTTCCAGTTTCACACCAGTATTTTGATAGTTTGGAAAACTTAATCATGTCAATTGAGGGGAGCCACGCCTCTCCCCACGGCCATCACCTCAGAGGAGCCAAGTCTTCTGGAGACAGAGGTGGAACCAAGGTAAAGAAGATTTCACCTTGCAGCAGAGATTCCCAGCAGCTTTGAACTGCGGCTAAGGGCGTATCCAAAACAGTATTTTACCGTATTAACTGCACGTTTGTTATAAGTAATAACATTGGTGCCGATTCCAGTGAATTTTACAGTTTAAGATCATAGTTCATTTATATTTCCTAACAGAACTGTGTAAAAATTCACCACAAAGGGACCAGCAGTTAGCGTAATGGCTATGTCGCTGGACTCCCATGTAATCGATCGCAGTTCGAGTCCCAGACCCGGTGGCTTAAACTCACGCCGGTGTGTGTGCGCGTGCACGCCCAAGATCCCAAGATGAGAATGGAGGAGAAGGGATTGCAGCGTGGCCATCGCCCCTGGGGGGTGATTTCTCACTTTCTATCTCTCTGTCTCTCTCTGTCTTTCTGGTGAGTGCACATGCCCTATAGCAAAAAAAACAAAAACAAAAACAAAAAAAACCTCTCCAAAAAAAAAAAAAATTCACCGCAAATTAAATGCAAACATACCTTAGAGTTGAATCTCTAAGTCGTTTTAATTTTCTGGTCATTTTCATTCTTATCTCTAGTAATTTTAATCCTTCATTAGAAAAGATACTTGTTTTTATTTACATGTAAATGTATGAGAGATTTTGGTAATGTATTTATTTAAAGATGTTTGTTATTCAAGCATGATGAACACAGCTTTCCCATGTTACCATCTGTGTCAGCCCATTTCATAATTTCCCGTTAACTTTCTAGAAGTGACTAAATTGTTAGTAGGGTCTTTTATGGACGTGTTCACATGTTATCAGGGTTTTATTCCCCTCCTTTTCTTGGTTTACCTCTTCGAGTCCACAGATTTTATGCAATGATCATAGCTCATGAAATGCATACTACTTTGATCTGTGACCTTTTTGTGGTGCTAATCGGGTTCCTGATATCATTATACCTTACTCATTAATCATATTTCCTGCAGCCCGTCAGGCAGCCAGACAGCACCAGTCCCTGTTTCCAGCCCTCTGTTGGCAGGTTTCTGGTTTTCCCGATTATTAACGAGTGGAGCAAACCAGCACCGAGACCAGATGATCTATAGGACAGTGAGTAATAACAGATTGCCCAGCTTCCATGGGTAGCAGGGGATCACAGACTTCATTAACTGACCCACTTATTTTCAGATACTCAGAACGTCTTTTTTAAAGTATTTAGTTGCTCAAAAATCAAGTCAAGGGGATAGTATATTTTAGGAGCCTGGTTTTTATGGTAGATACGTAATACTGCATTTTCTGTTTGTAATAGAGGACTGGAACTGTTCTACTCTCTCACCTAACTGTTTTCATCCTCAGAGCTTTCTGTAAGTAATGAAGATTTAAAAGTAGGGCTGGTAAGTTGGCAAAGAGATGATACTTAGCTTTCTGTAAGTAATGAAGATTTAAATGTAGGATTGGTAAGTCGGCAAAGAGATGATAGTTAGGTACAGAAGACAAGGTAGGTACCAAAGATAGATCGTCTAAGTTTGATCTGTCTTTCAGCCAAATCAATGATATTTTCTCTGTTCTGAACAGTTGGAATCAGGGTAAAACCACAGTAGTTTAATTAAATCCCTGAGATTGGTTTGTGTTCTCTAATATTACTTGAACTGTGATGGAGGGGTAGGTGGTATTTTTATTCCAAATAGTGCTTCAGAAATATAAA